GCAGGTGAGAGGACACGGGGCACGCAGGGCACAGCCCCCACAGAGACGATTAATGCTCCGTGTCTGCGCGACCCTGCGCCCGCGATGACTCTTCACCTGGGCCATTGTTTTGACAGGATGGCTGCATCCCTTGAGCTTAAGGCAGCCACCTTGTCCCTTACATTTCTGCATTTGTTTTCAATGAACAGGTTGTTCCCAGATAAATTTTCTGGAGATGAACAGAGGACAGATCCCATGACCTGAATCAGACAGGCGTTCTGATGGAAGTTTAATACTAATCACAGAAAACCGGTGGGGGTTTTTTTGCACATTATTGTAATGGTTTCATAGCTCAAACTGTTCAAGTTTTCCCACTTTCAACACTTATTAAAAAGAGAGGCTAAGATTTTTTTCTATTAAAAAAAATCATTTAGCTGAAAATTGGCACATGGACTTCAGCATCTCAAAAAGCTGCAAAATCTGAATGTATGTRTCCCATACAGTAAGGGCAAATGGTCAGTTGCATTAAAAACACAAAATCCCACAAAACTAAGAGAAGCAACTACCTTCAAATGATAGTTGCTCATGCTGATCTTATCACTGCATTAGGACCTTCCTCGAAATAGCAATACTTTGATCCCATTAATGCTCATTACTCCAACTGCAGTTCTTAGAATCTTTGCAGCACAAAATGCTCCCTTAACCCAGGAACGACATTTGCTGAAGCCATCGAATGGACTGTGTGAGACTTTGGGAACAGTCTCGGGAGGCCTGAACATGTTTTTCAGACTGAACTGAAAAAGCAGACAGATCTGCTCTGCTCTCCTCAAGTAACAGCTGTCTGACTCTCCATCCAGTTCCAAGCCTCAGATCTGTGCTACCCACACACCTGCAATCCCCACCCAACAAAGCCGTTAATATCTGCAGTGAACAGAACACTACAGGCTACAGAAAGTGATGAGGCAATTCCAAAGGTAACACTAACGATGCCCCTGAAATTAAGATTATTCAGTGAGATGCAGCAAGTCAGTCCAATTATAATGGATACTTGCTAGTTAGAATAAGGTATTGATTTTATTCGGGCGGCAAGAATAGCTAGTATAGAAAGAACTTTAAGTGCAACCAGTAAGTGATGAATTGTATTTGATATTTGGGCCACATGTTTGGATTTGTACAAAAAAAAAAGAGTAGAAAGGTAGAAAATACCAGGTATACCAGGTAAATACCAGGTAGAAAACCTGCCTGGTATTTAGCATTATCTTCTCCTGCCTTTTAAGTGCCCAACTTGATAATCAAATTCAGGTATGCAGTGAGATGTGAAGTTCTGAATATTCTGAATATTTGAGCTACCAATGGGTAGACAATTAAAGGAAAGCAGAGACTGGTACACGTGGCAGCAGAACAGTGAAAGACCAGTGACACAGTAGCCCTCAAAGTGCAAAGAAATCCTAGTACTGACTGCCATTATGCTGTGACTAGCAAAAGGGCTCTAGTAGTTTAAAGAAGGCAACACACACATAGTCAGCTCAAAACAAACAAACAAAAYCAGAAAACAAATACACATCATAGTTACCAGGCAATTTTTCAGAAAAAWTTTCAGTGCAATTTTTACATTCTTAAACACAGCCTGTTCTACTGAAAACACCTGGAAATTTCTATTTATCCACAGAATGATTGAGCCCGGAGAGTGAAATCCCTCTGAATAACTTCAGGCATTACCTACAGACCTTGACGGGGAAGGAGAGATAATTATATAGTTTAGTTTCCATGTCTTATGTAGTCCATAACCTCTCTCTGAGACCTAACAACAKCAGCCTCAGTAGAGGCAAATTCTAATACCCAAAGATAACTGAACTGCTGGATTAGAAAGACCTGGTAAAAATCAAACGTTTGCATCAGATACAGGAGGTTTCCCGCTGCTATAGAGCAATGCACAGACCTGATTTCTCTTATGAACTACCCTCCTTGGGCCAGGTAACCACTTAGCCCAGCAACCAGGTGACACAGGCCTGCAGGGGACTCTGGCTACCTGCCYTAGGCACATCCTACAGGTACAGCTGTCCTCGGTCCAGCACCTTGGGGATGCAGCTCTGATGCACCCAGGAGCAGCATCTGAGCCAGTGACAGGTGAGAGCTTGGAAATAATATTGCCAGGCCTCAAGGCAACTCTCCAGTAACACTGTTAAGAAAGGAAAGCACTGGCTGTCTGGCTTTCTATTTTGTCCCTTTTCAGAAAGCAAAGTTACACGTACACACAGGTGGAAAAAGCATGCACTGGAAGCAGCACTTTAATTGGCAGAAACTTGCTCTGTTTCGCGAGGAACTCATCCTGTATCCGACAGTACTGCTCTCTGCCACTTGGGGAGCACCGCAGGCGAGTGCTGAGTCATAAGTCCAGCCTAACCTGTAGCAAACCTCTAAAATCACAGGCAAATCCTAKCTCAGCCTAGGCCACCTGGGCGTGCAGAGACCCCAGCTGCGCGGATGCCCTACACCAGAAGCCACCCTTGAAACGGCATCCGTGAAGAGCACGGCAGCAGCGCAAGCATCAAAGCAGCCAGGCAGGCTCTAGAGCAGAGCAGATTCTTAGTCAGATTCTCATAGTTTCATTTGCTGGCATTAAACAAATGCCCTCCACTCGTCGGGCAAGCTAACCTCTGCTGGGGCTGCCATTAACCCCATGCCCACATGCTTTTAATACTGGGGGCCATGATTACACAGGCAACCACAGCTTTAAATCACTTATTTCCTAATTTTCAAGGGCTTGACTTTATAGACTAATTCCTGACAGACTGTTCGATGTCACCTCCTAGATTTATTAAAAAAATATATATAGAGAGAGAGGGGATGCAATTGTTGTCATGTATAAAAGTAATGGTCCTTTTCACATTCATTGCTAATAAAATGGAACATTAGGCCTGCAGCTCACCCCTCTCCCACCCAGGCTACAAACTACACGGGTTGACAAAAGCAGGGAGCCCTCGGCAAGGAGAAAGCTCGGATTCCAAGGGCCTCGCAGAGGACGGGGTGGCCGTGGCAGGAGGGATCCCCGCGGTGCCGGGCGCCGCATGCACTCCCGGGGCCGTCCCGGAGCGTGTGCAGGAGCTGGGCGTGGGAGGTGGAGGAGGGCAGGAAAGGCAGCCCCTGCTAATGCTCATCTGGAAAAAACCCTGCACGCAGAACTCGATTTTTATTTCCAGCATAAGTCACAAACGCAGCGTTGTGAAACGGAGACCAAATTAAAAGATTTGCTGCAAGCCAAGGGGCTGCAAAAGCATCTTTATTAAGATCTCCAAATCCTTTATAAGGAAAAATGTGGGCCAAGAGGGAGATGGCTGCAACAATGTATGGAGTATGTTACAGGAGAAATCCTCGTTCCAGTATCTTAATCCCTGCTTGATGTTTTCTTCAACGTCATACTCCTYCCTAAATACAATATTTACAAGACATACGACGCAGTATAACAACATTAGAGCTAGGTACTTGTCTGCTTTTCCTAAACCTCTGTCTGCCTTTTGACATAGGATCGTCATAGATTTCCAGCATTTGCAAAACCCGGCTTTCCATCCTCTCTCGCCAACGTTGCTTCCCCAAAATAAGCGTCACGTCTTCCAGCAAACACGGGTGAGGAAGCACAACCAGGAGGTGCTTCGGGCAGGACAGCATCTCGGCCTTTTCACCCACCAGCCTGAGCAATGCGATGCTTTGGGAACAAACGCAACTGCTTCCAAAGGTGGGAAAGTCATTACTGCCACATTACCAGCAATATGTCATCACAAAACCAGCAAGGGAAGAACTGCTTGGAGCAGGATCTACTTTGTGAGCTTCAAGTTTGCTCRTTACTTCAAATGGGCCTTTCCTGAACAAAGGAGAGGGGCCAGCACTGCTAGGAAAAACCCTAAGAGGGAATTTAGGGCTGAAGCATACGAAGGCACAGCATTAAGTCCTGCATTAATATTTAAAAACGCTTTTAAATTAAGCTATTTAATAGCTGCAGTTAGTCAAGAAACTTTCTACCATGCAAGAAATGCATGTTCCTGGTTAAAGGCTTGGCAAAAGAAACCCCACACAGTTGGCGATTTAACTTTTGCTGGTTCACAATTGTTTAGCGCAGCACCTCAAGGCTAAACAGTTATATTTATTTCAACAAGAACCTCAGATTAGCTGCTTTAGATCACATCAGTGCTAAATGTGAGGAAGGAAAATGAAAAAAAAAAAAAAAAGAAACAACAAGAAAACCAAATCCGATCCCCAAACCCCCTCAACATGGTGCCAACCAAGACCCCAAGCTCTACCCACGACTGGGATTTATTTGTCTGGTAAAAGCAAACAGAACGAGAGCTGTTTATTCAGAATAAGAGCTACTTTCCACCCAACCATATTTAAGGTTAACAATACTAGAACAACCCCTTGGCCCTCAAGTGTTTGACGCGGCTGCCATAACAACACGCAAATAGCCGGGCTCGTGACAGGCGGTGCAGCGCGGGGCAGCGCCTCGCTTTTTTGTTCTCTCCACCAGGGCCTCGTTATAAGCTGATTTCTCCTATATTTACTAGTAACAAGAGATAAGAAGCGCCCTCACCTTGTTTAAAAATCTGTATTAGATGCTTCGATTATTAAAAAAAAAAAAGAAAAAAAAAAAAGAAAGTGTCGCTTTATCATCTGCTGGTGGATAACCCGCTATTTTCAGAGGAACATTTGCGGATATTCGCCCGAGGCTGCGGGGCCCCGCGGCGCGGACACAACCTCGCCCCGCGCGGCCCCGCGGGCACCTGCGCAGGGCGGCGCGGCCCCCCGGCCCCTTCCCCCTCGCGCCCCCCGCGGCGGCTCCGCGCGGAGCGGGGCCCGGCCGGCGGGCGGCCGTGAAGGACATCTTGGCGGCGGGCGCCCAGCCGCGGCCCCCGGAAAATGGCTGCCGCTGGAGCGCGGCCCCGAGCGGCGGCGGCGCCCGCCAGCCGAGCCGGGCCGAGCCGGGCCGGGCCCGCGGCGCCGGCGGGCGGAGGGCGGCGGCCGCCTCGTACCTTTGAATTTGAGCTCGTGCTGCGGTTCGAGGCTGAGGACCTGCTCCGCTTTCGCCATGTTCCTCCTCCTCGGCGGCGGCGGCAGGCGGGGAGAGGAAGGGCCGGGAGGGAGGGGAAGGAAGGAAGGGAGGGAAGGAAGGCGGGAGGGAGGGGAGGAAGGAAGGACGGCAGGCGGGGGGCGCGCGGGCGCTCAGTACCCCCCCGCGGGGCGGCGAGGGCAGAGGCGCTGCGGGGAGCGGGCGGCTGCGGCGGGCGGGAGGCTGCGCCTGACGTGGCGGCGGGCGCGGGTGCGCAGCGGCGCCCGGCCCGGCCCGCCCTGCCCTGCGGCGCCGCGGCCGCAGCGAGCGGCCCCTTGGAGCGGGCTGCGGGGGAGCGGCGGCCGTTGGAGCGCGGGGCCGGGCGGCCCTGCGGCCAGCGTGGCTCTGCGGCGGCCTCGGGCCCTGCGGGCGCCGCCGCGGCCGCTCTGCGGGGCTGCAGGCGCTCTGCGGGGCGGCCCTCAGGCAGCCGCCCCAGGCGGCGAGGCGGCAGAACCCGCAGAGCGGCTTCCTCGGGGTTGCCGGCCCGCACCCGCAGCCACCATCTCCCTTGAGGGATGTCCCTCAAGGCCGCCGAGCTCCTGCCCGCGCCTTCCTCGGGCGCCTTGCACCTCTGTGKCCATCGGCACCCCAGACAAGAGGCCCGTGGTTTTAATAGCAGCTCTGGATAACCAGAGCCCAGCTGCAGACCTGGCTGTTGAGGCCAAAACTCACCATACAGCTGGATGTTTATGTAACAGTCGTAGCAGCTGAAGAAAACGCTCCAACAGAAGCAACCAGGAACAACTCACATTATTTGCGGAATCTCCAAGCTCCCGGGGTGCTTTCCTTTCATTGTCCAGCTGGTTTTTTTTTTTTTTTTTTTTTTTTTTTTTTTTTTTTTTTTTTTTTTTCCCAGGTCCCTGCTATTCCACTTCCCTTGGTTAATCAGATTCAGAGCCCGGGACATGCTTGGCTTCTTGTTTCTGCTACTTCTGGGGGTTTCATTTTATAAACTGCACCGTAACATTTAATTAGATTTCCCATCACAAGATAATTCAGTTTGTTGTTGTGCTTTGGAGTACAGTTTTCTTTGGCTGATACTCTGGAAAGATTATCTTCTTTCCTATGATCTCGTAGATTGTTTTATTTTTATAAACAGATTCTCTCATTGCGCTAGGCACTCCGAGCCCATAAACTCTCTAAYTGGCAGAAAAAGAACAGCTTAGACATAGCTGCAAGTTAATTGGAAACTAACGAGGAAAAGCTTGGAGGACACTTTACATCATATATAATCATACATAATGTGACTCCCCAAAGCAAACAACTTTGGTCCAACAACTTTCCAAGTTCTGCTTTTCCTCCAAGTTCAAAGCACACCCCAAAGCATTTGGTGATCCACATGTTAAAGGGTTTGCAGAGTTGTGTCATCTTTGCACACTGGCTGCTTTGACTTCGGTGCTTCAGTTTGGAGGGCTCCGCTACATCTTCAYCCAGGCAAAAGGTCTTGTGGAACTAAACACAGTGTTTACGCAAAGCTGAAAATTTAAAGCCCAACAGCAACTTTACAAACTACATTGCTAATTAAATAACAGGTGGTATTTACTGTTGGGAACATCACCTTATTGACATGGGCGTGCCCCAAGGCCACCTGCAACGCTCCAGCCTTATCGATTRCTAGAAACCACCCTCACTTCAGCAACTCTTTGGCACAACAGGGCACAACAGGACATCTTGTCACCCGGGTGCAGTTTTGATAAACAGGAGAAAATATCAGGGATGGGCACTACAGGGAGGCTGCGACCTGCTCCTGAGACTTTGTATTAGCACAAGTTTAAAGGACATTTCCCTCTGCTAAGTGCTACCAGACTTGAGTCCTCTGAAACACCCTTGGCTTGCACTACGTGTCAACGTGGTGGGTTGTGTTTCGTTATCTGGCTACCACAGGCAAACACAGGTATGTGTGTTGTTCCTATTCTAGCACATTCCGTGYGTTTACCCTTCCCCTGCACCCTCGTAAACACGTTCATACGCCTCCCACCACACAGCCGAGCCTCTTCAAAGCAGTTTATACGTGTCTAAGAGACTTTTTAAAAACAACAGACACTGAACAATACATTTAAAGTAAACTTTCCAGCTCTGTGGTAAAAAGATATCAGTGCCCTTTTCTGCACGTAAACTGCAGCCAGGTGCTTAGTAGAAAGGCACAGAAATAGAGCTTAGGTACAATTTCTTATCCGGTGAAACAGCAGTATCAGAAATGGGTTATTTTTGCTTATTTACATTTCTTTTGAAGGCTGCTATTGACTAAATGTTTGACTCCTAAGRAAAGGAAACTACAAGTCTTGAAGCACCTCAGGCTATACTAGCCATATCTGAACTTTTGTACTGCACACAATCACTAAATTAAAAATAAAAGCTGACCAAGTACTAGGAAGGGAGAAAGACGCTCTCCCCAGAAAGACAAAACCCCAAAACATCACACACAAATTAAGATCTCTTTACAGTTTTGACTAACAGAACCCTGTCTAAACAGTCCGGAACTTCCCTTTTGATCCAAGTCTAGGCAAAAAAGGCATGTAATAAATAACTTGCGCCAGTAGGATTTGTCAGGCCTCGCAGTACTTGACAGGCCTGCGTGTGGCCTGTAGTTSCTCAGACATCACGCTGCCATGAAAGGAAGCGCTGGACTAAAGCTGCATTCTCTCTGCTATTTTTTCCCATTCCCTTTTTGCACAAGTTTGTCTTTGTGTTTACACAAAGGAGGAAAAAGCTCAAGATTCTCAATGCCCAGTAGTCAGTGCTCTTGGRAAAGAGCTATTTGAATTATCACTCAGATTCATTTCTGCCTTTGTACTGCTTAAGATTCCTCTTCTCTAACCATTACTTTCACAGACTGTTTTTGAAGATGTTGAGAATTTGGGAACCACTTTTAAATAAAACCAGCACATTTATAAACAAAGCTTTTTATTAATAAAATGTTTACACCTTTGTTTCTTTTTGCACAATACATCAGACTGGTAATGTTTTAGCATGTTATAAAAGTTTATTATGAATACTTAAGCTGAAAAGGCTGCTTATATTATGCCCAATTCTTTATTGGCATTCTACGCACTGTATGGGAGCGTAACAATAMAAACAAAAAGGAGAGAACAAAAGTCTGGTTTCATTAGCATCTACAAACCAACAATACAGACAAACCTGTACACGCTCTTGGGACCAGCCCAAGCGAAGACTAAAAAAAGGTCTCAAAACATTCATAAACTTAGGAGTTCATCACTACACTAACTCATCACTAGTAATCCGACTACATTTCATGCAGTGAAGCAAGGGTTGTAAAATTGTGCAGTTTACAGTGCTGCAAGTGCTCTGTAACTTGGAGCGGCTTAAGTTTGTTTTAATAATAGGTACTATAATAAGAAGGCACAGACCTTTTAACCCTTGTAGCAGGTTAACCTAATGCTATAACGGAAAGGCAGAACATTCTTGAGAGGGGCAAGAATGGCTGATGCAGAGGTTAACGTCCCCACTTAATTTTACAGGAAATATTTATTACCTTGCAAGAGCTCTATGCTTATCAGGTTATTTGTGTGCCCTGAAAATGCAAATGCTTCATTTGCTTGTTTAGAAGCCTTCAGTATGATTTTTTTTTCCCCTTCTTCATTTTACTTTGGGTGGAGGGAGAACAGGGAGAAGAGAGGGAAGGGAAGAGAGATTGCCAAGAASTGTCTTGAACAGAAATGGATCACATTTCTACAGCTATCTCACAAGAGTTCATAGTGTTGCAATGCTGGTTACATTCTATGAAGACATAGGAAGTCCAAAACAGAGAGGAAAAAAAAGGGAAGCCTAGTTGAGGTTAACAGAGCCTTGGTTATCTGGTATCATACACTGGCGGTATGCAATTCAGCAGCTATGTTTTCACAACAGCTTCATGAGTCTGTTAAAAGAAATTCCCATTTTGTTTGCAAATATCTGCTACCGTGGCAGATACTTCTAGAATCTCTGAGAAAGAAAAAGTCATTTTCCATCTTTTCTTGGCTAAATCCCATAAAAAAAACCCGAAGTACAAAATGTCAAGAAAGCGTAATAGATTTTAAAGAAAATATAWTATGTTTAATAATAGGAACTAGATAGTTTAACATGAGTAAAAACTGAGGCAAGAAAGTAGCAGTGAATCCACGGTGAGGTCAAGATTTACAGTATATCTAAGTACAACAACTGGAGGCAATACTACTCCTAAGCAAAACTGAAAAGAAAGACAGGACAAAGTGGTCTGTATTCTTTAACACCAGAAAAGAAGCATCAGTTAAGCTTGTTCATCAGCAGCACATACACAAAAGTATTAACAGGAATGAAATAAAGAAAAATCCAACCTTCTCAAAGGACAAGAATAACCTTACCAAGGTAACTGGCTTTTCACTTAAAAACTAACAATGAATTTATTTGAGACTTTAAAAACCCCAACTGGCAGGATGATGTGATGGAAAAGACCACTTTTTTTTTTTTTTTTTTTTTTTTTTTTTTTTTTTTTTTTTTAAATAAAGCTATTCTAGAATGAGAGCAAGTTCAGCAGAGATTCTACCAAATTTTAGGGGGAGAATTTCTGCCCACTCCTTCGATTTCCTACGTAAAGCAGGTGGCACCAAATAACTCTTAGCAACTTAGCAACAAGTATTTTTCAAAAGCTGTATGCAGGATGTCTACTCTGACAATACTATGTTAGAAATTCAGGGGTGGGCTGGGGTAAAGCTGACTCTAGAATTGGCTTGTTATCTCAGAAATGAAGTTTGGAGTTCAAAAAAAATTCTTATACCCCTTGAAAGATTTATCTGTGACCCTTTATGGATAAAGTTTGGAAAGTTTAAACAAGCGTCACTAAATCAAGCCCTTTCTATTCTGACTGAYGAAGAAAGAGCTCACATTCAAATCGCCAAGGCCTCCAGAGGAGCAAGAGGGATTTTTTTTTTCTTTTGTAAACAGGCATAGTTCTCAGAAGGCTTAAAAATACATAAAGAAATACATTTTAGCACCCAAATTCATATATGAGAAACAAAGATGTAGTTTCAAGCTTGTTTCTTCTTGTAGGCTGGAGCCATATGACAAGACAGTCCTCTGAAAGGGAGCAACCAACATTGTTTTTAAAAACAAAGCCCAACATCTTATTTCTATACATCAATCATCTGTTGCCTAACATTACTAGGGATGATCTGAACATAAGTGCATCTGTTCTGAGAATTCTGTACCGATCTTTTAATAATGTGATTTCAGGCACACAATTCTCATGGTATAGGGAATTAACTCTCACTCTGCTCTAAAAATCTGCAAAAAAAAAAAAAAAAAAAAAAGAAAAGAAAGTTTATCCTCATCACCATGAGCAAATGACCCTCTTCCTAGCTGTTTCAGGTGTTCAAGAGATACCCGAAGGCATTTGTTTTTTAAAGAGAATGATTAGGCAGGATAGAGGTTTAAATCAGGGAATAACTCAGATTTTTCCCATATCTGACCCCTACATTTGCTCCTCGTCCCCTCTTTAGTTACTGCTTGTCCTAAGGGAGGCTGGTGCAGGGTGGCCAGCCATGCAGCCGGACACCTTCTGTCCTGTAAATCAGCAGGTCCCAAGATAGTCTTTGCAGATTGCTGACACAGCACACCACAAATAGACCATCCCATCCTTCATCAACACTGAGAGCAGTTTCACAAGGAGGGAAATCGTTCAAACATCACTGGAAATGCTTCCAATGTTAAGGCAAAGCAAAATGTTAAAGGAACAGTTTAGGATCAACATAAAATTCTTGTGGAGGCCAATATTTAATCGTGCAAGACAATCAATGTGGTTTTTTTTTTTTCTACATTAAAATGAATCTTTAACCACCTATGAAGGAAGACAACTCCTAATGAATTCCACACCTCTCATCTAAGTTAAAGTGTTAGACTTCAGAACAGCAAGCAGCGCATGTGTCTTTTCCTGTTACTCTTCTCCTAAACATGTAAATATTCTTTCTTGAGCTGAGTGATAACATTATGCTATTACATATGCCCGTCTTTCATGAACAGATTCAAATCTGCCTTCAGTGCCCTTCCATTCTACTAACTGACTGCTCTTAAAGGAGTTCACTGATGTCAGTGGGGATTAAAATCTTGATTTGATTGTGTCTTTCAGCATTGATTTAATAATATAAGTCGCAACCTTCTTGGCAACAGCAAAGCTGTTCAAATTCTCCCAGAAGTTTTCAAAGCACCTACGGTGGTTTTCATTAATTTGGCCACTAAATGTTTCTGCCTTTTGTTAAATTCAAGCTTACAGATCTTACCTATTTAGACATTTAGTATTTCAATTTTCAGYATGTATATAAAATATACTACAAAGCTACATACAAGGCAAATCAAGAACCTGACAAGTCAGCTAATACTCCTGTAATTTAGAAGGTCAGATGAAAATACCCTCCAAACCTTGGAGGGCATGCTTAAGTAACTCCAAAGCCAAAGAACTAAATATTTGTTAAATGATGTCTGTGGACAAATCTGTAACTTCTGTGGGAGCACGTCAGTCTTGTTTACAAGCTGAAATAGTCCTATTTTGTCAGTTATAAATATGCTCTGGAGCAATAAAACAAAGTCTACTTTGTTACCACTATAGTATCTGACATTTTTCCTTTCTAAGAGGATTTGCAGCAATTAATTCCCTTTAAGAATATACAAAAACCTAGTCTCTAGAATGGACTATTTATTAAGCAAGAAAGGATATACTGGAATAAAATTTAAGCCCTGAGCTTTTTCAACAGCTTCTCAGGAGAAAGATGTTCCTAAAGAGTAGCTGTAATAGTGGATAATCAGCACTCTTAATACTCAAGGGCTAATCAATCTCCTAATACAGAAGCTATTTTGGGACAAAATATGATCAATTCCAGCAGTCCTACTGCAATGTATAAGTGTACGGCCTAATTAATATAGAATTAATTAACCCAGAAGAAATCCTTTTCTCCAACAAAAATGGAACTCTGAACAACATGCACGTTGCACCCAGGGAAGTCTGCATTTCAGCCTTCAGTTATGGCCAACTAATCAATAAACCATTATCTTGTCTGGAAAAAAACCTCCTGCATCAACAGTGTACTATTTWAGATAGACATGTTCTTAAAAGCCTCAATTATTTGTTAAACACTAGTTTGGACAATTTGAAACAGCACTCATTGCCACGTTATCTTAAAATGCTGCAGTTAATGAAAAGAAGTGCTAATGGGTATGAACAATGCAGACATTCCCTCCAAATTCATAACAAAATAAGTCACTATTTAGTTATGTAAGAAAATGGCCACATTACCCAGACACAATGCTACCTTTTTAGCATTTGTAAAATGTATTTCTAGTGTATAATCCAAAAAAATTAGGAGAGTTTAGGAAAAAAAAAATTAAACAAGCACTAAAACAGGTTGCCCAGATTGAACATGGAGTCGCCTCCCTTGCAGAAATTCCAAGCTGTCCAGCCTCTATCCTGGRCAACCTGCTCTAGGTGACCCTGGCTGCGCTGTTGGGTGGACGAGATCTCCAGAGCTCCCGTCCAACCTCAACCATTTCGTCATTTGCTAAGAGACCAGGATCTCAATACTTGCCTAGCTGTAAGTCTAGCTTAACATCAAAAGTTTCTTCTCAGGTCAATAAAGGTTGAGTGCCATTAAACCAATTATTCTCTTACTGGAAAGCAGATTTAAACATCACTTATAACCCATGGTAGTAGAAAATGATAATTCAGAGACAGAGTTTGTAATTTCCAATTCTACTAATCTACATGAAAAATATTTCCAATACCAGTCTTTCCTTCTCTTACTACAATACTTCCAAGTTCAAGAAAATCTCCAGATCTATTACTAACAAACCATTAAACACAGCATTTTTGTAGCATAGTTAAGAGACTAATGGACTGAGTTTTTGGGTGCAGAATAGAATTCTGACACAGAGCTAAAAATCAAGGGTGGCTTGGTGGAGAAAAACACAACAGAATGCAACGACTGAAAGTAAGTGGCAGCAAAGTCTTAGTAGTGGTAAAGAACCAACTGTAACTACAGAATCTAGTGATAAACTTGCCCAACAAAACGAAGCAAGTTGGAAGGTACAAAGGAGTGAGAGATGTGTAGCAATGACCCAGGACTATGAAGTGATCATGGTATAATCTGGTGCTGTCAAGCACACACAAGTCACCGCTCCAGAATTATCTTACGTCGTTTTGAAAGAAATTCTGCTGTGTAACACAGAAGTGTCTCAAGTGTACAATACCCGAGATGTCCTTTAAGCTGGAATCAAAAATGGTTTTTAAACTAGTGTAGTAGGTACATGACCAWGCATTAAAAAAAAAATGCTAGGAAGAAAAAGTAGGATTTTTCAAGGAAATTGGAATTTTTAATGACTGCTGCTATGCAAGGTGCTCAAATAATTATGGATATTACGCATGCAGTTGCTAATTTGCATTTTTTAAATTAAAAATGATAGGTCCCAAAACAAGCTTATTTGATTTATTAAGTGTAATTCCATTATATATTTTGTAAATGTACCAAAAATTTCTCTTCATAATTAATATGAACAGGCTGAACCTTGAACAGAAACCTGTCTCTACTATGAGATGCTTTTGTTTTCAGGGGAGCTTCAAACAGCCTTTGTTTGATGCAAATCTACTTCTTGGGCATTCTGTATCTGCAATGCCTGTACAACTGTGGCAAAGACAGGGCATATTTGACTATGTAGCTGCAAATAAAGGGCATGATGAAAAAGACAGCCACCAAATTCAATTAAAATGCGCTGATCTATTCAAAATCTCTCACCACAATGGTTTAACTGTTTTTCTCCAGAACAGCTCTGAACAGCTCTACAAGAATTTTGAATAATACAAACTAGTATGAAGTAGAAATTCTTTCATTCTTTGACGCTTTCTTTAGAAAAAGTATTCGAGATGAAAGCCAAACTGCACAGAATAAGGATCATCAACACAAGTTCATTTTCATACTAAAGGCAAGAAAGGACTTTTTTTATATATACTTGAGTTTAGTAAACTCTTTCTTTGAAAGCATGAAATTCCTCACTAGTACTGGTAKGAAAAAATAAATAAATAAAACAGGGCATGGTCAATCAGTAAGTTAATTGAAAGTGTGCTAAAAAGCAGGACAATATAAACTAAAAGCTGAGTTGCTAAAAAAGTTTCTCACAGATGAAAAAGCCCAGGAATCAACAGGTAATGATCTACATTACCATATGACTTCAGTTTAGTTCCTCTTGGCAACTTTTCACCCAAACGAGGAAGGACTGGGCGCACCACGAATGAATGATGAACACAGACCTCACGCACTGCACTAACGGGAGCCTCTTTTAGGCCTTTCAGATATGATCTACAGAAGGAATTTCAGCCTGCCTCTTAGTGAAGTCACTGACAGAGGCAAGACCTAATAATAGCCAAGGGAAAAAAAAAATAGGTGATCCTCAGGAGTTTATCCATGGGTGTGGAATGGAAGGAAGGAATAACTGCATTATTTCACTGTTTTTACGTGATTTATATTTTAAACATTGGTCTCATAAATATAATATGAACATTTTACACAGGCCAAGCAGTTAAAAGCTTTCCCCCAAACGTTTTAAACCTTACCAAAGTTATTGACAGCATCTGTTTTTAGTCAGTAACCACTTAACTTAGCCAGAACTACAGCTAGGGTATCTTCTAGCAACATCTTACTATTGAAAAAAGCTTGTAAAAACAGAAAGATGCCTGTAAGCGTATCAGTTTGCCTTAAAGTGATTAGTCAGCATGTGAAAAAAAAAAAAAAAAGATTGTCCATGGTTTAAAAGCTGTTGCTTTTCGGTTTAAAAGCTATTGTGTTCCCTCTGCCCCACCTAATATCTTTAAATAAAAAGTGCAAATGGGATTTGGGGACTGGATGGACTGATTTGCTCATTATCTGTCTTCAGTTCCTTATTTTGTAGCCACCTCAAGCCAACTGTCCTGTTATACTTTGGATTAGCTACAATTACATTTAAAATAAGGCTCACTGAAGAAAAGGAAGAAATACCATCTGACTGACTCAAATTTCAACAGATTCCTCCCACCCCCAAGTCCGACAAAAGTGCTCATTTCCCTTTATACAAAAAACATAAAATCTTGATTACAAAACTATTAAACACTTCAGTTCTACCATCCATACAGTCACCCTCCTTTCAAGCAAGGCCAAAAAAGTGATGATGGATTCCCTTTGAATACAAGAGATACTACTACACATTTTGTAAGTAAACAGGCTGACATTATGATTGCAGTCTCTTCTGCGAGCATACAGATGTCAGATGAACTGGTCCATTTTTTGTGGGACCTTGGGTGTAAGAACACCAGCAGATAAAGATCTAAGACTGATAATATAAACCCAACGTGAACTATTAACTTCCAAGACCACCTACTGTATAAACAAGTCTGATTTTCTAAGGAATCAGTCAACAGCAGCTGCGCTTTGTCACCGATGGCTGTCTTCTAAGCTTGAAGCCCTTACCACTAAGTGGGGGGTTGGTGTCAGTTGATGGAATTCTACGACCTGTGAGGAGGTAGAAAAAACATTTATAGGATGCATTTGCATGGAAAATTATAGGCATTCAATATGTTTTGCATACAAAATTTTGTATTTGATAAATTACATAATTAACGACATTCCTGCATAACAAAAGAATGACTGCTAACAGTCTGTGCCATGTCTTTAACATTTCTAAGGGAGTTTTCAAGCTGATCTTGAACCTGAGCATAAATTCATCTGGATTCAGGAGACCTAAACCACAGAAGCCCCCAAACAGACTCCACAGGACACTATCACCTAGAATCTCTTCTGAGTGGTAATCTCATTCTGTATTTTCACAGCAACCCCTTTCACGAGGGTTGATACAGACCTTTAAGGAGCTGCTTTGGCTTTCTGCTCAGGCTCAGGTTGACTATTCCTTTCAGAAAAGAACAGAAGGCTCTAAGTGATTTTTTACAGTTGAATCAGAATCAATTTAGAGTTGCTTAGAGTAACTGTTAAATCCATAAATTAAGAAGCTAAACTACAGCATATACTTTTTAACATCAGCTTCAACAAATTCACCTGTTCACAAGGAGCCTATTTTTCTTTTCAGTCAAACATATGCAGAGCTATTCAAAGTTAAACAGATAGAGTGCATATGTATATACACACACACACACGAGTTACTATTTTTCTTGTTTTTAGAATCCTGTTGACATATCTGCATATTGGTACTGCTCCTTAAAACATACCCTGCAATATTGTATGGAATAGTCTTTGGAATACTGCCTGCTTTTCATTCACTTAGAACAAGATTTTTTYCCCCCCATCTCTATGAATGAGGGGGAAAAGATTTGTGATTTAATTGAGAAAAAAAAAAGGAAATAAAAATGACAACCCAAAACCTAGTTGGAAAAAATAGACAAAAAACACCCCAACCTACATTTCCCAGAGAATAACCTTGCAGTTTTTTTGAATTAGGCTCTTGAAAAATGCCTTGTCCTAAACCAAGTCCGAACACYGTGAGTGAGAATTAAATTCTTTTTCTCACATGTATAAGGTTTGAATCTTCCCCAATTCCCTTTTCTTACCCTTCTGTAACCTTGGAAGTACTAATTGAAACAGTCAATAACAGATATAGTAAGATGACACTGGCTTGTGCCATCAGTGCCCTTCTTGCTATTTCTATAGTGGCAATACCTGGGGCTTGAAATTCCTTACAGAAATGTTTAGAGGTCATAAGATGCGGGGGGGAAAGAGAGAGTCAAYTTTACAATTTTGAATTCATAACTGCTGATAATATTCTTACCTAGACAGCACAAAAAACATAGTAAGAACATTTCTGCTCACAATTCTTTCAATAGAAAACATGTAGAAAACAYATCCACTGCTTGAATACTTACTAATTTCTATAAAGAGTTCATTAATGTTTATTGCATTTTTCGCACTTGTCTCTACAAATATTGCATGGATAGAATCTGCATAGTCTTTAGCATCTTTTTCCATGACTTCTCTGAGAAAACATAAAGAAGAAAACATTAATACCAAATAAAACATTGTCCAAGYGTTAAGGGATAACTAGCCTTAAGTGGTTCATTAAATGGCAATTCTGTATTACCTGTTTGGCATCACACTGCTCCCTCATCCTTAGGTTGAGGCTCATCCTTTATTCTATGACATTATTGCTGGGCTCTCTCCCCACCCGCAGGAAGCGGCATCATTAAAACACAATCATAACAAACTAAACAAGGCCTTAATCCATCTGAAAACATTACAGCAAAGTTTGTTTCCTGAATGCTAGCCATCTGCAATCAGTCATTAAAGAGTTACTTTATTCCTCATACTCACAAGCAGTGAGTTAAATCTGTTGAAAGATACCCAAGACTTACTTCCACTCTTAATCTAATACCGTGAGTTTCCTAAAGCTACTTCCAGAATCCAGTATCTTGCAATATAACACATTAATACCATGTACTTTACAGCAATATGAAAATATAAACGTATTCAGCCTGCACACACAACAGACATGAAGTGAAAAAAAATATTTGGCCCCTCCAGAYAGGGAAGTTGATAACAAATGGTACATTTAAGAGAGGCCAACAGGTTAGAACAGTGACATACACCCTACATCACATTATATAGCATTTCTAGACTATGCTGCTTTCAGTAATATGAGACTTAAGTTATCAAGACACGCAAAAGCAAAGACACAACTACGCATTTCACTGAAGAAAAAGGGACTTAATATTGCACATCTTAGATTTGTCTTCCAGGTAATTTTAGAGTAATTCACTTCAAGATACATGCCTCTTCATACCTTTCAATATTTGACAAATACCTGCTCCTTCTGAAATCTAACAACATTTAGCACTATAAGCTTATCTTCCGAAGTGAAACCTGCATGGAATTGTCAACAATTATTTACCTTACGTCATTAAGGTCACACTTATTTCCTGCAATAGCTACAACAATGTTTGGGGGTCCATGTTGTCGAAGTTCTTTCACCCAGTTCTTTAATGTGGAGAAAGTTTCCTGGTGGGGAAAAAAAGCAGAAGGAATAAGGCCTTGTCCAGCAGACACGTGAAGCACAATGTTTAGTGCTGGGTCAAAACCCATTTTTGTACCTCTTTCGTGATGTCATAAACTATAATGGCTGCAGCTGATCCTCTGTAGTACATTGGGGCTAAAGCACGGAACTGGAAGAAAGAAATTGTTCATTAGGATTCTGCCCTTTCACTGGCTTCCATGAGTCACTTATTAATATTAAACAAAACTAGCTTTAAAGTTCACAATGATGGAAGGCTTTTATTTACCATTACAGAGAGGCTGTCCAATAGGGTATGCAAACTGAAAAATGGGTGATGCTAATTTACAATTTACATGTTAGATATGCTGGTTTCTTCTACCTAAAACTATCAGTTTTAGGGATTTTGAGTTTTTCTCAAAACTCAAGATTTAGAATCGTGCTCAAAACAAAAACCTATTTATGTGACGCGCTGCAATTAAAAGTTTTAAGGAACTCATTGAATATTCAAAGCCTTAAAGTTACTATGATCTTCAGATTTGAATCTACAGCAGGTATATTTGATTAGCAGCAAGCATACAGTGTATGAAGCAGGCATCTATCTTCGCAGAAATCTAGGAAAACTAAAATCAGAGATATTAATCAAATGTTCTTAGAAATTCAGTGTGATATTCTMCTAATTTAAAAAGGTCCAGGCAACTAACGTAGCAATCAAAAATTTCATTGGAGGCACAAAGCAAGTGCATGTCCTTATTTGATGTAAGCATATGTGATTTAGACCTTTCATGCATCTTACTACTGAGGTTAAAATTCATGAATAGAACTTAAATTTTCATAAAGACTTGTTTGGTTCTAATAAAACATGATTTCCTTTTGCCTAATACAGTTCAGCTGAGAGCAGTGCTATTAATCGTAAGAATCTTACTATAAAGCAGAATTCCAGACCTTTTACATTTGGCTCTCAAATTCTGTTTTGAAAACAAGATTTTGAACACTAAGTGCAGAACATAAAATATATCCAATAATGGGGAAAGGGAAACACGGGCAGACATTCAGTTCATGTTGGGGCATAATCTCTGTTCTTCCTCTACATACTAAAATGTAAAGGAAAACATATTTGAAAAACCAYCACTTGGATTGGTTGGAATCTGTCTTTTTGATTATTTAGCTATTTGCATTGGGAGGGAGGAAAAAAAAAAACAATTTCCACTTGATGATTTTGTATTACTCTCATTTCCTGCCTGCTAACACTTAGATACATTTTTCCATCCGAGAACAGCCAGCAGATAAAATACATTAACAAAACAGATGTTCCAAGAAACGGTGAATTTTCCTTTTTGCTCTCTTTTGCCCTCCAGCCTTTGATTTGTGTTTCAACAAGATTTGTAACAAGATGCACTGTAATTATTCTGACAAACTCTGTGAGTTGTTCGGTAAGAAAGCCAAAATTCGAATCACTAAAAAGTTTTCCAAGACCTTTAGTCGGTGAAAAAGAAATGATAGAACAAATAAGGCAGCTGTATGTGGAGAATACCATATCCATGTGAATTAGTGCATTCCACCTTTGGAGTAAAGCTAGCCAGGTACTTCTAAAGCTGTTTGAAATGACAGAAGACTGCCCAGTATAACATAGAATTATTTGCTGATGAGCTTTTTAAGTGTGAAACAGCAAAGGCTACTGAAAATAAAACTAGAAGTTGGAGTTTTTGTGCATGACCTATCACAGCAGTGCAGAGAAAAATTTGTGCTGAAAAAAAATTGAGTATTTTTGGTATTCCAGATAACTACAGATGCCACACATCCGCCAATGAATTTTGGGAAGGGCTCCAAATCCAGAATACTTTGCCATAGATTTCAGCACGAGACAGGTACAGAGATCAACTGTGACTAGTGCTGAGCGATGGGCAAGTGCTGACTGACCTCTGGTAACGGAAGGATTGTGGTACTTGTGACAGCTTKCGTGCTACAGGACACATCCCAGACAACTGGCTTTATATGGCGCTGCTGAGAGGAAATGCGTCATGCAAAATCTAGAGCTCTAAAAACGCGATACAGATATATTCAAGTGACACTAGAGCCATAACTACTGCTATAAAGCTAGTAAGTCCCGGACTCTGAAAGATCAAGTGACTGAACAGGCATAAACAAGTTCTTGAAAGGTGTTTTCTTAAGCTTGTGCTCTACAACAGTAAGAGAGGCACATTATTTCTCAAAATAGTCCTGAAAATAGTATACCTCCACTTGCCAGTTTGTGCCCTAAAGTCACAACCCAACACGATTCAAATGATTCTTCACAAACACAGCTCGGGCATCTGTTTTTGTCATAGTTAACTCGCATTCTGAATAAAGTAACCAAGAGTAACCAATAATTAACAGTCAAGAACTTGAACCTCAAGAATACGACAAGCAGTTGAYAAAACATGTTTTCCTTCAGTGTTGCTAGTAGTCATAAGCAAGAAAGTTAGCAAGAGAAACTTTCCTTTTAAATTTTAGTTTAAAATCATGAGACTAATTAATTGTGATTTCATTAGTTAATTCCTTGAAAGCGTTTGTTGTCTCCACTCAGAACTGTGTATATTGCAGACTTCTAATCCCAATTATGGGAGAAAAAAGAAAGACTATTATTCAAAATAGGTTTCTTGATATAGCTTCTAGCATTATTATGTATGTAATAACTAAAATTATTTTACAGAGTAATTGATTCAACTTACCCGTTCCTGTCCAGCTGTATCCCAAATTAGGAATTTATGCAACTCATTTTGATACTGTACAGTTTTGGTCATAAATGAGGCTCTGGAAAAAAAAATATAAATGTCTTGGTAGAGTATTGTTATCATAAACTTTTAGTAAGGTTTATTCTTTAAAAAGGTGAAATGCTTTCCTACAAATAAAATTAAGATTTTCATACGAAGAGACCAAAATTAATGAGGCAAAGGGTTCTATTTGGAGGATGAAATTAAACTATAAGATGAGAAGGTACAAAAACGCTAATTCACAGCATTTATTCTTCCTTAACTTTTGATGAAAATAAAGATTGTATGTTTACAAAACAACAGGTGGTCACTCTTCTTCGCACCTTTCTTCCTAAATGGAATAACCACAGCAATTCATCTAAATGTAAACAGGAGACATTTTGAAGGAAAGATCACATAAAAAGCCTTTCCCCTTGTATCAGCTTTTTCTGTATCTCTGTACTAGTATTCAGATAAACACTGATAATTTCACTCTGGGAATAAAGCAAGGAATATTCCTATCTAATTTTGTAGGTCTTAAAAGGACACAAAAATAAACAATAACTTTCCTAGGCTCCAGCCTGTACCCCCACCCCGAAATTTCAGGGTTACAAAACAGCTATCTGTATTTAAAATAAGGGGAACAATTCTACAAAAATAAATAAATAAAAAAACCCTCTTTATGCCAAAGAAAATGTAACTAGGTTTGAATTGTTCCGGGAAAATAATCACTGTAATTATTTGAACAAGATAAACCTGGAAGTATTTTTATGCTCATTCAAAGCTTCTTTTCAGTGATATAGTGAAAGACTGGGGAAGCATCTACCTTTAGATACACATCCTGGTCAGAAATAAGAACATTTGCAGCATCTTAAAGCATCTTTATAAGCAGCTCTAGAATGCCTTCAAGCTCTCTTCCTTCAATGCATGTAACAACACATAAGAAATACAACTGGATCTTCCAACAGTGTCCACCTGAACATGAAATTCCGCTTGCAGTCAGCATTACTGTGAGCAGTTGCAACTTTCTACACAACCTAAACTATGTTCAGAACAGCCTGCCCCTCTACTTAGTAGCAAAGCAAAGACCATCCTCAGCACCAGTTTTGGGTTTCTTCACAAGAGAACTCCCTTAGCTACTAATCTGTTGGTAACTTGGCATGTTTAACCCTTCATGACAGAAGGATCCAGAAGTCTACCCTAAAGTCTACCTTTTAAGAGGAAAGATAAAAGAATAATTCCTACAGGATATCTTGCAACTCAATAGCAGCATGTATACCACAAATTCAAAAAGAGAGGGAGAGATGGGGGCAGACATGTCAAGAACATCACATTTTCAAGAGGAAAGGATGAGACATAGCTGATCTTTATCMGCAGGATCTCTTCAGTCAAAAAGCACCTGAGACAGGAAGTTACTTTGATACCAAGCTCTCAGTGTGACATGAAGTCTTGCTCTCCCCTGAGTAAAGCACTGCCACTTTCTGTGCAAAGCAACCTTAAGACCTGCAGCAAACAAGGAGGACAGCAAAGGGCTGCTCTTCACCCATTCAATACATTTTAAAATTGAATATTGCCTCTCTCAGGCACATCTTTCACATATCCTTAGATATGAGACTGATTGCATTAACAATTTCTTTAGTTATTCAAGAGAATGTACGTTACCTACAGATACAAATGTTAAAATTAACCAAGAGAATCATAACCTAAATTACCTTATTAGCTACCTTTGAAAACCAAGATTTCTACTCCCTCCTTTTTGAATTTGCATATAAAGAGAATAGTAATATCACAATAATTAGACTCTGAAACTAAAGAGTGCATGAGAAAAGCACACTGTTCCCCTAACAAAAAGATATACAGTGAATTTATTCATAGCCCTGGAGTCCTAATAGGAATTTGTTGGCTAAAATTAGCAAGACAAAAATGGGTCAAGATCTTACACATAAAAATGGAAGCTGCAGAAGCACAGAATATATTCCTAGGTTTCCTAAGGTTTCTCACATGCTAAGACTGTGGTGTCTTCATTATCACATTTTGCTTTCACATACTGAGAAACCTCATGTGTTTTCATCAGGAGGAACAAATATATGTTCATATAGTTTGGAGTGAGTAATAAAAATAATTCAAGTTTACTTTAGTCTGTTTCTTACCCTATTGTTGGATTGATGTTGGGATCAAAGCTGTCTTCTACAAATCTCCACACAATGCTTGATTTGCCCACACCAGTGTCCTAAGAAAAAACAGTAACAGTTGAAAGAGATGGTAGTTACTATAAACTACTAATGAAAATTCTTTTTGTCATCAAATCTTGTGTTACGCTCCACACAGGTAACATGTTCCTATAGATAATCCCAGAGAAGTTATAAATATGTCAATTCATTTAGATGAATATGGGGAAAAAAACAAAGGTCTGAGAAATTAAACAAAAATGTTTTAAGGAAGTTTTTAAATGACTATGCTCATACTTCATAAGAATTATTCAAGTGCTTTTTTTGCAAAGCTCTGAGCTGTATTGAACAAAAGCTGCTTGAGTAGGGAAAGACCTTCTACCATGCTCAGTAAAATAAACAGTAACTGAAGATGGTACTTCATTTCTAAAAGCCAATTGACTGTCTTAAATTGTGCAAGCATGACACATTCATTTTCTATTCTGATTAATGCTGTCCCACCCTGCTTAATGAAAGGCCTGAAGTTTTTCCTGTAACACACCTGAAGCATGTGTCAAACACAGCTCTTCGGAGGAACAAATGGCAGAGGCAAAAAAGGAGTGTAAAAATGTAAGATTTCTAACAGTTCCAAAGAAATCTAATGCCAAGTCATATACATACAGGTACCACCAACTCGGGGGTAAAAAAGTAAGAGACAGAAGGCAGACTTAAGAGCGAAATACCATATATACCATCAGCACTGAAACGATTCCTCGTAGCACCYAGATTTTTAAATGGCAATTTAGTTAACATAGCTGAAGAACAACTTTTCACTTTACATCTCCAAATTTGTTAGTAGCTTTAAAGAAAAAGAATTGCCAAATGCTGCACTGGATGTGAAGCTCTGTTTCATTTCATGGGTTTCCCTGCCCCTTTCGAAAGGCCAGCAGTGCAGTAAGTTCAGGTATGCTCCTGTTTACGTTTTCAAGTTATTTCCTTCTCAAGAAAAAGCTACACAGAAAGGCATTATTCCAATTCTGTGATTTATAGTTTCTAGTTCCCAGTGAGCAGCACGAGCCCCATAGGAAGGCATGCAGACGCAGCCCCCGGCTCTGGCGTCACGGAGCAGCTTTTCAAGGTGCTGGTTCTCCAAATACTTCCCCATCATTAGGGGGCACAGGAACCTGTCATTTCCACCCGCCCCAGGAAGAGCGACGGGAAACAACCCTGCTCGTCATGCTCTAAAAAATGCAGGGTTTAGATAGAGACRGAGCAAGAGTCAGACCAAAGAGAGGCTCCCCAAAGTTACCAGCTCAAATCAAGCCAGGGCACATTTTTGCCCTCTGGATTTTTGAACCCACTTTGTTGTGCTCAAAGCCTGCTTTTCTTTCCCCCTACCTGCTGCCTCTAGCGCGCTTTTAGAGGCTGATCCAGACGCTGTTAAAGCCTCTGAAGGCAAACCGGGTGGGGCAGGAGAGGGTCCCCAACCCTCCAGGGAACCCGGGGCCTCAGAAATGAGATACGGAAGCGCCCAGGGGCGCCCCAGGTTCCCCCCACACCGGACGGGGGTTCTCCCCACACATGGGGGCGGCCGCGGAGGCCGCCGGCCGCGCGGGGAGGCCGCTCGCGCCGGGCCGGGGCCGGGCCGCGCTCGGCGGAGCTGCCGGCGCCGGCGGCCGCTTTAGGGCGACGCCGCGGGCCCGCCGCCCCCTCCCGCCCGCGCCGCACTCACCCCCAGCAGACAAACTTTCAGCTCCCTCAGAGCCATGGCCGGGAGAGGCTGCCGCCCTCAGCGAAAGCGTCAGGCGCGGCGCGGAAAAACCATAGCCCGGCGCGGGCGCCAGAGGCCGCGGGCGCGCAGGCAGCCCGGGCGCGGCGGCCCCGCT